GTTGCAAAAGAAGACATTGACTTAGTAGGCAGGAACTTTTGACAACGTCAGGTACGCCGTTCTTGCCACGGATGATCTTTCTTAACAGTTTCGCGCGTAACCTTGGGACACTAAAAGTTGCTTCTCCTTTTTTTTTTTTTTTTTTTTGCCCTGTTTCGTCCCCGAAAGAAGAAGCCTCCACCAGCGCATGAGTTTCCATTCTTTTACCTTAAGGTACCTCAGTACAAGGAGGGAAAGAACGGAGCAGGTAAGGTAAGGTAAGGCAAGGTAAGGTAAGGCATCCGTACGAAGTAGATACCTCCAAACAAAACAACGTAAAGTTCCAGGTTTTGCGTGTACAAATACGTAGGTACACGTACCTGAGGCATGCAGCTAGAAAAGACACAGGTACTCCGTACCGTGGAGGTACCTATGGAAGGTTCGCGACGTCAGGAAGGCTGCGTAGGCCTGTTCTTAGCCTCCTTCCCTCCTACCTGGGACGGCCTTGAACCGAAGGAAGGAAGGAGGGACCTGAGAGATTTGATCTTATCAGATCCGAAGATAACCCCGAAATCGCATCATGACCCCTCCCCCGACTCCACTTGGACGTGCAAACTGTTCATCATCGATTTTTTTCCTTCTCCTCTTGACCTGTCATCGTCTCACCCCTCCCTCCCTGTTCACTAACGTATTTTTTTTTCTTGGTCCCCTTCGCTTCCCACATCTTCGTCTCTCCTGCATCTAGGTCCCCCGTCCGATTTCTGCATCGCGACCAATTTGGAGTGGGTCTTACTGGCACCATCGATCTGCATCGTCGCCGACAAGTTTCTCGTAAACCGACGGCTTTGGCCTGGCCTACTGCACGTAGCACAGCTACTACGCCCGTGAAGTTTCTTCAAACCACGTCTCGATGTCATCGCCCTAGTCCGGCGGCTTCTAGTCTCAACGGCCAGTGCCCGAGCAACAACCCCAAGTACTTTACCGATGTGAAGCATCCCAATGCTAGAGACAATCGAGACAATATCATAACAAGATAGATACGAGGTACGATGAGACGAATAGACACAAGCTCTCAGCGAAGCGAGGACTCGCAAAAGTCCCAGATACCAGGAATCACGGTTGAAATCGGACTGAAGAAAAGTATCGATCGATACCTTGATTGCCTCGAACTAGCATCAGCTGAGCCTTTCCAGGGTCCAGTCAACGTCGTTGTCATCCCCGCGTTGGGAAAACTGTTCGTTCGTCGGGTCGTCTACTGTCCATCGTCTCTAGGCGCTCGCTTTAACGCTCAAGCCGTCGTCAAGTCTTCCTCAATCGCTTCGGTATTCTCATTCTAGCTTCTGTGCCTCCGGTCCATCCCTCCCGTCCGCTCCACTCCTGTGGCCCGGCACATGCAAACGAGCCAGCAACGCCAAGGCGTGCGACCGCCGCTCGCCGCTGCTGATGCTGGACACCATCTCTGACGGATTGGTTCGATGATTATGGGGTCCTGTTCTTCATTTCTTTTTCCGTCCTCGTGCAATCGACAATGCAGTGCTGCTCTCGACCTTACCTTAATCTTCTCCGTCAACCGAAGTGCATCTGCCACTCTTGTCTGTGTGTACATACGACCCTTCATTGCACCCATCATCCACTCGCCCACTCAAGAAGTTCCTCCATTCACCAAAGGACCACTTACACCACCTATGTACATACGAATACAAAGTACCAAGGACATTAGCTTGGCATGGGTTCCAGTCTGCGAGACCCAGACCAAGACCCAGGACCCAGACCCTCCCAGGGCATCCCTTACTAGCGAGCCCATCTCTGGAGTCAGCCCGTTGCGACTCTGTCCCTGGCCCCAGGCCCTGGATGTGGAAAGGCGTCCGTTGTGGATGGCTTCTTGCTTTGAGCCGAGCTGGCGCTGCACTATTTGCGCCCACGAGGTACGCCAATACCTATGGCAACCACCTATACTACTCCGTTCCGTCACTACCCACGGCATTCTACGCAGCTCTTCTCCCAAGAGAGATGGGCCAGGGTCTTGTCCTGTCCTGTCCTTCATAGGCCTTCTCCGGCAGAATGACAGGATCACGGCACCGACGTTGCCCCATTCGCGCGAAGAACCGAATGTTGCAATTTGAGTAGACTCCTCCAAATACGTCTAGTCCCCAGCCTCTGGGGCGTGTAACCAAACGACAATGTACAGAGTACGGATACCCCCTACCCAGTCCTAATCTCCATCTGCTCGTTCGTGAGCTCCGAGGCGAGGGTCCAGCGGTCCAGCGGTCCAGCTTTGAACTTGTCGGTCGATCACGCCGCCTCAATGGGACGCGGGCATCCATCGACGTCTGCCCGTTTTACATATTAGCCCCTCGGTGCCCCTCCTCTGCTTCTTGTGCGTCTCTTGATTCTTCTTCACCAGCTCCCACTTCTCTCCTCAAGCCTTCTCTCAACCGCCCATTCAACCGGTGGCCCATCTTCATTATACCCAAAGGCTTCAACCAGATACGCCACTCTTTGAGAGTCGATGACGAACAGTGTGGCTTGAGACTACTTTGGATCAATCACAAGGAAAAAGCCAGCATTAGACGAAAAAAAAAAAAAGGTTCTAACCACACCCAAAAAAAAATACCCCGCGCAGTTTCGCACCCGCATCCCACTTTTACACCGGGCTTTTATTCAAACCGTCTCAAAATCGAAAAGTAACGCCCTCAAGGTCAGTTGATGTGCTCCCACTCTTCCGAAAGAGTAAGATTTCAAAGGTCATGAAGCTGATGGTTTTAAAGCCCCTGCTCTTCCCGCTCAGTTGCATTGTCACTGGCACATTGATCGACCCATTCGCTCGTCAAATAATACCCCCAGCCGCTGTTTGCGACTTGTCTATATACTCAGCTCACGCACACTTACACCAAACCACGTAATTTGAACCCCCACCACCACCACTACCTATCATCATGTCTCCTCACTGCGACTCGCCGACCAACGGCTCCGACGCCGGCAGCGGCTTCTCTTCCTACAATGGCAACGGCAATGGCTACACCAACGGCAACGGAGCCGCCCACCAGAACGGCAACGGTGTGAATGGCCACCAGAATGGTGCCTCCCGCATCCAAAAGTCCCAGTACCTCCAGCCCACCGACCACAGCGATATCCACGACCTCATCTGCGTTGGCTTCGGCCCCGCTAGTTTGTCTGTTGCCGTCTCCATGCACGATTTCCAGGAGGCCGGCCGCCAGCTCACTCCCGGCTCAGCCGCCGCCAAGGTGCTCTTCCTCGAGAAGCAGCCGGCCTTCGCATGGCACCCGGGCATGCTCCTTTCCGGCGCTCGCATGCAGATCTCCTTCATTAAGGATATGGCCTCCCTGCGCAACCCTCGCTCCCAATTCACTTTCCTCAACTACCTTCACAGCAACGACCGCCTGGTCGAGTTCACCAACCTGGACACTTTCTTGCCCGCCCGCGCCGAGTACGAGGACTACCTGCGCTGGTGTGCTCGCCACTTTGACGATGTCGTCGAGTATGGCCGTGAGGTTGTCTCCGTCTCCCCCGACCCTCAGACTGCTGGCAGCATCAAGACCTGGACTGTCAAGTCCCGCAACATCAAGACCGGCCAGGTCAGCTCCTACCAGACCCGCAACGTCCTGATCGCCAACGGCGGCCAGCCGCGCATCCCCAAGGTCATGCCCGCCAACCACCCCAAGATCATCCACTCCTCTCAGTATGCCCAGCTCGTTCCCCAGCTCCTCAAGGACAACTCGAGACCCTACAGAGTCGCCGTCATCGGTGCCGGCCAGTCTGCCGCCGAGATTTTCCGCGACGTCCAGCGCGCGTACCCTAACGCCAAGACGTGGATGGTGATGCGCTCCGAGTTCCTCAAGCCCGCTGACGACTCGCCGTTTGTCAACTCCATTTTCAACCCCTCTTACGTCGATGAGCTGTACCCCAAGTCCCAGAGCTATCGCCGCTCTCTCATCAAGGAGGCCAAGGCGACCAACTACGGCGTCGTGAGACTCCAGCTCATCGAGGCCCTGTACGAGATGCTGTACCACCAGAAGCGCACCCTCGGCTACGACGAGCGCAAGTGGCCCCACCGCATGCTCTTTGGCCGTGACATCACCCAGGTCACCGAGAGCAAGGAGACGGACCGCCTGCAGATCCACGTCCGCCGCCTCGAGGACGCCGCCGGCGACAGCCTTGAGGATGGCTTCGTCAACCAGCTGCCCGGTGATGAGGTCCTCGACGTCGACCTGATTGTCGCGGCCACTGGCTACCAGCGCAACGCCCACATCGATATGCTCCGCGACAGTTGGAACCTGCTTCCCGAGATCACCCCCGCCGGTAACGCCAGCGAGCGCGAGCTTGTTGATGGATGGGAAATCGCCGGCCCTGACGCGACCTCGGGATCGAGAAAGCTCGAGGTCGGACGCGACTACCGTGTGCGATATGCCCCTGGCGCTGTGGCGCCCGATGCTGGTGTTTTCTTGCAGGGATGCTGCGAAGCGACCCACGGAGTAAGTTGAGCCCCCCCACCCCAACATTTCACACCACTTGGAACATTGTGACTGACGAGCTTCCTTTCAACAGCTGAGTGATACCCTTTTGTCAATTCTTGCCGTGAGATCGGCCGAGGTTGTCGACTCCATCTTCCCCTCTACTCCGAGGGCCAAGACCGTTTCCAACTAGACGTGTTTTCTTTTAACGACTTTATTCTTATTAGAGAGAAAGGGATGGGAAAGACATTTACTTCATGAGTCTCTTCTTGGATTAGTCATTGGCATGGGACATGTGTACCTGACGACATCTCTTTGTGTGTGTGCCCTTGGGCGGGGTTTTTTCAACATCTCATCGGAACTTGTGTTGAAGAACTAAAAAAAAGACATGGCGCGGAGTTTTAGCTGTTTTTTCAATCGATTTCCATTATTCCTGGTTCAATAAAGCTTCAACTTTTTTTTTTTCTCCCCTTCGAGACATCGCTGGTCCCCATCGAGCGAAACTGCTTCTACATTTCTGATATCTTTGGCCCTAGTTGATATGATGGTTTATATGGAATAGTTATTACTGTACAATTGTGCGTCATTGTGTTCAACCCAAGCCATGAGTTCTTCATATATCGCGCCATTCTCCGTCGTCATGGGATACAACACCTGATTTGGCCCGGGCGGGAAGGTTTGATGCTGAGATTGTTGAGAATATGACGTAGACGGCGTGTTGATGCTGCTGCTGACGTTCGTTACGTCGTCTGACGTTAAGCCCGGGGTAGAAGGACCTCCGCTGATACCACCAGCGCGGGCAGTATAGACAGCTTGACTGTCTAGTCGCAAATTCTTAACTATGGATTGGAGGTCTTTCAGGACGGCGGCGCAGTCGCGAGCGTAGTTGCTTTCCGTCTTGGCCTCTTCTTCAAAGATACCGATGGCAAAGTTGACGTTAATATCGTCGGGCTCCGCGGCCGGCGAGAAGACGAGAAGCTCTTCCAGCATGAGAATAATAGCGGCGTTGAATATGTAGTGCAACCCCGCTTGCAAGAACTTGCGAGTACCACCGTTGAGACCCATCAGCCAGCGAGCGAGGTACAAGTTCCCATGCGCCGCCTTGGAGCAGGAGCTTATGCGGTCTGCGTGGTGCGAGAATTCCCAACGGCGGTCTGAGGTGATGTAGCGCTCGGCAAAGGTCTTTTTAACGGCAGCGAAGAATATGGGGCGGACGACAAGGATGAGAAGCTGCAGGTTCCGGGAAGAGTTGGAGTTAGTACGGGGTTGCGATTGTCTTCTCTATTTCCAGACTAGGAGAGGGGGGGTGTCGTGAAGCGGAAGGGAGGGGGGCGCGTATAATCCCATCCTTATTCGGAGGAGCAGCGCAGGGAGGAAAAAGAAGGCGGCAGGGCAAAACAGGCTTACCTGGTTGTATGCCATATGCAGGAGACAGCATGAGGGATCGTTACTTGGATGGGATGTAGACATTTGCAGGGTAGGTGGTAGTGATGACTGCCAGCTCCCGAGCAACTGCAGCGCTCGGTCGATATGCCGCGCCGCACCTCCGGGACCACGATCCCAGGGGGCGACTCTATACGTGTTGCAGACAATGTGGCCCGAAATGCGGGCCAGCTCGACGTGGGCTCGAAGGCCGGCTGCAGGGGGTAAAGACCCTGGCTTTTCACTACACGGGGGAATGACCATTGTGTTAGATGTGTGCCTTGTTGCTTCGACAGGAACCCATCATCCGAGGTCTCTATCGGGTAGGATACCAGGGGATTGGGACGGGGAAAGGGAACTTACATATCATCGCAAGGCAGTGGTAGCCGGATCGCATCGTCCATGATAATAGGAGGACGGCCCATGAGACAGCTCAGCCAGCGATCGAGAATATAAAGAGTCCAGAAAACGCGTTTCCCTCGCTCGTCGACCCAGCCACGGTGAGCGCCGTGCATGATGGATATGTGCATGGCATTGCTCACGTAGACGTATGCTGCATCGCGGCGATTCATCTCGATGAGGTAGAAGCCCATCAGTGCTAGAACAGCAACGTCACTGATGGTATACCGGGTAATATCGAGAGGGTTGCCGAGGAGCAGGCGGGCGCGGGCGAAGTAACTCTGGCTCAAATCTTTTGGGACCGGTATCGAACTCGCCGTGGTATTCGCCTGACAGGCGACGGCAAAAGCGGTATGGTAGAATGCAAGGTGACGATAATTGTCGGAGACAACCTGTTGAGGGGTCCCGGACGGAAACACATCGGACTTCGGGTCGCCGGACACGGTGGGAGCTTGGACGGTGGGCGGTTTGCTGAGATCGCCCCACCAGTAGATACCGCCGCACGGGAAGCTGCCGTTGCCGTCTTGGATGAAATAACGGAGATTGCCGAGCATAGCAGTCATTTCGTCCCGGGAAGGCAGTGCGAGAGGGTCCGCGTTCGACTCGACCTCTATGGGACGAGAGTCGTAAGTCTGATAACTGCCGAGAGAAGAAAGAAATGTTAAACCGTTATTTGGCGTAGGCGGTAGCCACTGCGGGTTGAATGCAAGTGGCAAGACGGTGGACATGAACTCCTTGAGATAGTCAAGGAATGTTGCGCCAGAGGTCTCGCCAAGAAAACGGGTTCTTCCATCCTGATCGTGCAGTGGACGTCCATCGGCGGTCTCGGCAACAATCTCGTTACTCGCTTCAGCGTAAGAATCATGCGGCTCTGGGGGTGTGATGGACGGAGCCGATCCGGCACGAGACCCCTTCACGTCGGCATCCTGTTGCAACAGTTGCTGTCTCGCAACGTCGTCAGGTACGGCAATCTGCAGAGCCCGTTCTGCGATCTCAAGCTTCCTCCTCAGATCATCTAGATCGTTCCTAGCGACGGAGACTTTCTCGATCACGGTGGGATACTGGCATTCTCGTGATGAGCTGCGACATTGGCGGCACGGCCTTTCACCGGAGCATTTGATGCGGCGGACATTGCAGCTGTTGCACCTGTGGATAAAGTTCAGTACGTTGAGTGTACGGTATGAGACAGCGATGAGATTATCCTGTGCCAGGAAGAGATGCTACTTGACAGAAGGAATGGGATTGGTAGGCAAAAAGAACCAAGGTAGACGGCAAATCAAAGGTAGTAAATGATAGAAGATGAACCTATTAGAAATATCACAAGCAACTTACGCTGTTGCAACACGCTTCCGTTGCTCTGGCGCTACCTTGTGCCGTCGCGGGTTGACAGGCAAACGAGATGCACGGCTGGGGATTTCGCTTTGTTCTGGCTGCTGCTGCTGCATCCTGGTTCTGCGGAATAAGGAGACCGCATGTCACCGCTCCGCCGGACCTCGCGCACGGAGTTGAATAGGTGAGGCGGGATGTGCGAAGTGCGCAATTGCGGGTTGGTGAGGGTTTAGTTCGGTGTGGCGGTCGGTCAAGGATGAAAGAGTTAGGCTTGTCGTCGGTGATGGTGACGGTGACGGTGACGGACGCGGCGATGGATATGGGCCGGTTGGTAGCTCAATGTACCCCGGAAATCGGTAACCAGGCAGCGGCGGATGTGTCCCGTCCTTCTTCGAGACTTCCGGTGGGATTGGACAATGGGCGCCAGGGCCTTGGAGGCGAAGGGAATCAAGGGAGTGACGCTTAGGGGTCGAGACTTATTGGTCTGTGGTATGCGTACTAGATGTGGTTGATAGTGGGCGGCTGTATCCGAAGTGCGTTTGCGAGTGAAGGTCAAGGCGCTATGTCGACAGTCTTTCGCCCTTGGGGATTCTCTTCAGGCGGACGTTGGCGATCAGAAGCTGTTGACCCCGACTGATGTGTGGAACGTTAGAATTACTCGCTGGGAAGATGTCCCGGAACGATGTTGACATGGACATGGCGTGGAGAATGGAGATTTTTGAACAGCCGTTGTGGTCGCGAGAAGAGGAAAAGGGTCCAGTGGTGGTCCGGGAAGGGAGGAGGAGCCTGAGGAGGTGGAGGGGAGGGGGGTGGTAGAATTTTGGGGGCCGGAAGTGGCTCCGTGTTAGTCATTTACATGTGACGATGCCCACTTCCTTAACAGCATCTTTCCCTGCGCGACCTTCCAAGGACCTTGGAGCTTCTCAAAGCCCCAAGGTTGCGCTGCGCGGGTGCGTGCCTACCCGACCAGGCCATGGCAGGTCGAGCAAACACCGACCAAACCAACCTGGCGGGTAATGAAATCTCATGGTGCCATACGGACCGTACTCATACTGTAGTGGCCTTCCTTCCTGGGCACCGCACATTCGCAGTTCACTCACCCGCTCAATCACTCACTCACTCGCTCGCATACTTACTCACTCTCACTCTCACTCTCACACACACTCTCACACACACTCTCTCTCATGCCCATGCCCATGCTCACTGGTTCTCACACTCATACGCAATCCACGGATCCATCATCGAGCTGACTGAAGCAGAAAAACTGCGAGCAAAGGCATACTCTGCCGGACCCCCCCTCGAGCGCTGCCGTGAGGTGCGCTTGACGAACCTGCAAGCCTCCCTGCTTAAGTCACACATCTAGGTAGTCATAAGTGATTGCCATGCTGCACACGCGCGCGTTGACGGAGCGTCTCTTCCCCTCCTCTTTTCTCCTCCTGGGCTCCTCTTCACCCCCGGTCATGTTTCGACCCCCAAGGATTCGGGGACCGTTGATCATTGATTCGAACCCCTGATAACCGGCCTGGGCTGTGTGCCTAACGTACCCGGGGCCTTAGCTTGCCCTGCCCCAAGACGAGAGAAGAGGCCACTTCATGTCCAAGCCTTGCTTTGCCTTGCTAACGCAGCACGCAGATTGCTAATCACTCTTGTGTAGCTAAGCCTGCTTAAAGGTAGATTCTATGCAGTGATGATCCCACCCATTCACTGCTCAGTACGGTACCCCGAGTCCAACCGGCAGCAGACATGGATCGGAAGCCCCAAAAACAGCTTAGGAGGGCGCCACTAACGTCCCGTCTTACGTTGCCATCGACTCGTTCCACGGCCCACGCGGGAGACGGGAGGCGGGAGGCGGGATGAGCTTGGGGCACATCTTCGCCGATGGCCAAATCAACTCCCTTCAGTTGCTCATCTCGATTCTCATCCCAGGCAGGCCAGGTTATTCACTATTCATCCAAGATATTCATTTTAATCATCTCACATCTCATCTACATACCCGTCGTATCCACGTCCCCGTACCCTGCCTCACAAAAACATGCACCTGCAGATACTCAGCGGCTACCATACCCCGACAAACTTGCCAGGAATCCTCGCTTAGGCACGGATAGGCCACTTAATTGACCTGTCAGAGACGGCCAACCTGCACAATCGTGACCTCGGCCGATTGCTTTCGGATCGGTGGAGAAATATGCCCACCAAGCCCCCGGCACACCGCGATGATTGTCGCTGCAACTATTTCATACCGGCCAGTCTCACTTGTTGGGTCTCACACGGCTCGCAATAAAGGGAAAGAAGTACCTATGCACAAGTTGGCATGCAGCCTCCCAGTTCACAACGAGCTAGGCGCTCACATCCCTCCTAATTTGGTTCACGCGCCGGGGTATTCACTCATTGCGGCGGAACGGCTCTTCTTGGCGGTCCATCCCTGTGTTCCTCTTATGGCCTTCGTCCGGAGAAGTTTGCGCCTTTCATACCTCACTGTTTTACCAAGCACTCAGGGTCTTTCCTACGCCAGCCACTTATCCCATCTCCTTGCCTCTTAGGCTCATGTTCTTGAGCCACATGATTCAAATTGTCGCTTAGAGTCTCGTGGTTTAAACTTCATTAGACTTATCCCACACAACCCACAGATTACCGACGACTTCCAACCGCCGTGGAGGTCGTTGAGAATGCCCCAACGAATCCGTATAGCAGATCTTCCCTTCTGTTAAGCGCCCCCACGGACAGACCAAGGGCCAAGGAAACAGCCTGTTGGTTTGCAATCTCTTCTTGTAGCAAATTTCCCGCCGGCTACCCTGCAGCGCCTACAAATACCATCACGACTGACGAGAGTCGAAGCTTTCGTCGCGCGTCGCCTCCAGATGATAGTCTCTGTCCTCAGGCAAGCGCAAGTCAGACGCCACTTCATGTTGCTATTCTATCACATCAGCCCTGTCAAGTCCTAGCTTATGTCCGGCCAGCGTGGTGAGAGCTCATCTATTCGTATCGCCGGTCGTGGAATCCTTTCCCGCGATTGCTAATGATCCTGGTTCGGCCTCGTCCGACGCCGGCATGTTCGTACGGAGCACATTCTTGTTAAGATAGGTATGTAATCACTTTTTCCAGGGTCCCATTAGCGCCTTGATAAACATAAACTTTGAAAAAGTTGGTCATGTGCGGAGGGAGCTCCGGTCCGCGAACCCCTCGGCATACAGCCGCCGACCTTTCTCAGGGAAGGGGTGTCACAGACAGGAGTATGAAGACCTTCTCTCGCATATTACGTACGGAGAACTCGATCCAGTTAATGAGCTTCTATTACTAGCTCTGATTGTCTTTGACGGCTGCCTCACTCCTTGTTCGTTGCTTATGGTAGCGCATCGGCCGATTCATCAGGTTCGTAACAACCGACTCGTCCGTCAGAACAGCGACGCCCGCTATCTTCATTTGCGGCAGTCTTGCTTTGCCAGCAGCAGCGCCAAATCTGATCTATGTGTCCTCCGGGTTTCGTTCGATGTGCATCTTAGGCCCAGTGAGGCAGCGACTGGATTGTTCAAGCCTCAGCCGACGACGAACCCCACTGCCACGTTGCTATGTGATGAGCGTTTTGGTGTTCTGGGCCTTCTGCCAATGCATCGAGGCCGGCACCAGGTGCAAATACCTTCCCAGACACCGGCTGCTGTCTACTTGGCATGCGGCTCTTGAGGCTGAATGTCACCTGCAGCTGGTCGCGCCAGGACTGATGCTCACATGAGCAAGGTCAGAAGTGGCGGTCACGGCCCGGCCGGATAAGAGGCCCCTCACGGCTTCCATCGACTGTCAGCTGTTTCCTCGCGAGTTTCATCGACTTCGCTACAAGAACACTAACTAGATGGTCTGATATTGGTGGCCATCGGGCTTCCAATGCTTCTCAAGACATTCCTCTCCAGAGACTAGTGGAATCGCCTATCTCACGTCTTGAGCGAAAGGTCCCAAGGTTCATTGGCCACATCTCAGGGCTCCAATTTATTGGGTGCCAAAATCTTTCCAAACAGTATAAATCCGGAAATGAAAGCTCTGTCGATAGGGGTTGCACCCTTCAGAGCTCACCTAAAAGCGAGTGCTAATGAGTCTGAGCCCGTTAGCGGCGGGAATTCGTGATGACCACCTTCTGATGGCCACCTTCTGATGATTCTAAGTTAATTTACAGGATTAGAAGGTGTATTTGGCTTACTTTCATGTTTTCTAGCGACAATCGGGCTCTCATGGAGATCTTGATGAAGTGAGATGTCGCTTGGGGGATTAGAGCTCCATGAGTTTGCCCTGACCAACGCAGATTATGACTGACCAATTGAGACACTGTGACCAATCTTCATATCTCTTCACCTCACCCATGTCTATACTTTGGAAATATCGCCATTTATTGTCGATGCGGGAAGACCAAGGGGCAAGTCTTGCTCGGCCGGGACTCCACAAGAAATATGGCACTGGGCTGCCGGCTGCCACCAGCTGCAATGCAACTCTTGCTTTCTTCCTCATGATGACCTCATTCTCTCAATCACGTCCATCCAGTGCAAGCTTCACATGAGGTCCGCGACAGCTGCAGAAGGCCACTTGTGAAGCGGATTTTCTCCAATAAGCTAGAATTCATCTGATGGAACCGCCAAAAAAGACAATGGTTCGCCGCGCAGTCGTCTCATCCTTTATCTTCAAGTTCCCGCCCAATCGGGGGCCTCAGGTCGCTCTGTTCCGCAGAAGTGACAGTGTGCGGACTTATCCGTGAGCTCTTACCCTAACCTTCGCAATCATAGATTGCAATGATGCTTGTTTCTCATGTGACTGACTAGAATTTTTGAAGGAATCATCTTGCGCCAGTATCGGGCAGCATAGAGCAGGACGACCCCTCGCCCCTTGATGCTGCCTGGAGAGAGATCCGCGAAGAGACAACGCTCACACCTGCGACCTTAACGTTACTCCGCCAAGGAAAGGACTACGTTTTCGCTGACGAGAAGATTGGCCGCGAGTGGACTATCCATCCCTTCGCCTTCCGCCTCAAGTCCCACGAAGATGAGTCCCGCATTCGGATCGACTGGGAGCATAAGGGGTTCCAGTGGTTTGACCCCCACGAGGTTCGCGACGTCGATGAATTCGGTGGCGTTCCAAGACTTTCCGAAAGTCTAAGACGTATTTGGTTCGAAATTGAACTTGGCGAGAGGAGAGGGAAGATTCTGAGCGAGGGGCTGCTCGCGTTGCAGAAGGATCACCAAAGCGGAGCGCGGCAGCTGGCGGGAAAGGCGCTCCACGTTCTTCTTTCCGTGATTGGAGAGAAGGCCAGCGCAGAGAAGGATGGTTCTGTGGAAAAGTGGTGGCGTAATGCCCGGCTCGCAGCATGGCATCTCTGGAAGAATGGTAGAGAGAGCATGGGAGCCGCAATTCTGAACAACATCGTGCGATCGCTGTCCGTCATAGAGAAGGAGGTTCAGCAGGTCAAGGATGCCAACGTCTCCCAAGCCTTCCTCGACTCTGTGACAAAAAAGGTAGGCGATTTTGCAACATCGAGGGACTCTTCTATCGATGGCATCTGGAAGTCCTTTGAGGCTTTCTTACGAACACATCACGGCTCGGGTCAGCCCTGCCGGATTCTCACCTTATCGTCAAGTTCCACCATCCTCGAGTGTCTGAAGAGGGCTATCGCAGGCCTGGACTCAGAATTCGATATCCGCGTACTCGAGTCTCGTCCCTTGTTTGAGGGGGTTTCAATGGCGTCTAGCCTAGTCAACCACCTCCAAGAATTAGGGCAAGGAGAGAAGAGAGTCGACGTCTCAATCTACACCGACGCCGCCGCCGCAATCGCGAGTAAGGATGTGGACATGGTCCTTATCGGTGCAGATATCATTGACGGGTATGGGGCAACGAGCAACAAGACAGGCTCACTACCGGCAATTCTCTCTGCTAAGCATAGCTCACCTCAAGCTAAGGTATTCGTTCTGGCTGAGAGTGAGAAGATTCTACCGTATGATCCACCTGGTTTCGAAGAGAATGACGTCAATGAGGTCGTCGCTTCATGGAAGCACAGCTACTTAGCACAACAGGCTGCCTCGCAAACCATCGATAACTCGCTTAGGGCAGGCTCTGGCAAGGAGATGGCAAAAGCAAATGTCAGGAACGTGTACTTTGAATGGGTAACCCCAAGTCTCATCGACGGGTACATGTTCGAGGACGGGGAGAAGAGCTCGACTGATATTTCGGACATCGCCCAGCGGATACGCCGCGAGGCAGATGCGTTCTTCTCTGATGTTTAGGTACAAAGTGGTTGTTTCGCAGACCACCGTATTCAAAGGCCATAAATGAACGTCCACTTCTTGTCAGCGTAACGCGTGTTGTCCAGTCGCTCTCTTTCAATCTCCTCTGCAGACTTCTGTCTCATAAGTTCCAACTTTCTTCGATTAACCGCGGCGAGGGTCAATCTGTACGAGAAGTATCCAAGTAACGAGACTGCAACAAACCCCAGGGTCACGTAAAATGGGATCTTGTAGCCTGGCTTGTAGCGATCGCGGTATAGCTGCGCACCGATGACACCTGACAAATTCCCGAAACCGTTGAGACCGAGGATAAGGGAGCGTTTTCCGGGTTCTGTGTGAAATAGGTCAACAATGTTCCTTGATATTCCGCTTGCGTCAAGTCGCCTAGGCTCGTCCAGCTGCTTACCTGGGGTGTTCCCGCTCAACCAAGCGACTGTCAATGGCGCAGCGACGTAACTACCGAGAAGAAGAACGCATAGCGCAGCGTACTTCCCGCCGTTGGATTCGACAGTAACGGTAGCTACCAGACCTACGACCGCAATGATGATGCCCCCCAGGATGTGATAACCTCGTTCCTTGCTTAAAAAATATCAGATCTGAACATGGTCCTTTCGAGGCTTCCAGAGACCTACCGATAATCGGAGCTGAGAGTAAAGAAGTATAATCCAAGCGCACCACACGCATATGGAGGAACAGACATCTGCACAATTTCTGTCAGTCCTTCTGTTCGCTCTTGCCTCTCAGGTTTACTCCCCTTCTTACCAAATTTGCTTGAATTGACGAATATCCCAATCCCTGCACGACTAGTGGTAGAAAAACAGAAAACGCCTGCCCGGGGACGCTGGCGCAAATGTTGAATACCAGAACATACCAGAACTTCCAGTCTCTAGCAGTTTCAATGAAGTCCCGCTGGGTCAAGCGATCTGTCTCTACTCCATGGGCGTCGTAGGCATGCTCGGTAAATGAAACGCTGTCGGCTTTGATCCTATCCGCAGCAAAGCGTCGTTCTTCTTGGGTTAGGAACCAAGCCGAGCCGGGACCTGCTGGAAGGAACACCCAGGCGATGAGACCGAAAAGGATTGTCAGCGTTCCTTCGATGATGAAGAGGTATTGCCAATTTTTCAGAGGCCCATCTCTGAGGTGGAAAACACCGTAGGCTATCCTCATGTCAGCGGTCTCCCAAGGGTACGAGAGAATGTCTTGATGTTCATGGGCTTACCAATTGCCCCAGAAAATGCGCCGGCAACCGCATATTGGCCATAGAATAAGCCGACTCGCACGGCAAGATCATATCGACAGTAGAAGAAAGAGAGGTAAGCGACTGCAGTCGGGTAGAAGCCGGCTTCGAAGGCGCCTATCAGAAGGCGAGTGGCGATTAAAGAACCTGGTGAACAGACTTAGCTTGGAGAACGTGCAAGGCCCTTTAAAGAGCACAAACCTCTGCCCTTGATGAAGGCCTGGCAGATAGTCACGAATCCCCAGCCAAGCTTTGTAGGGGTTAGCATGGATGCATTTATCTTGCTGGCGTGGCGCTTGGACGAAGCCTCCTTACCATCATAATTGGGATCCAGTGTTTGGCCCCAAGCCATCGGCCAACAGCCGCAGAGGGAGGCTGAAACAAAACGAAAGTAATGAAAAACAGAGACACGGCGAGATTCAGATCGTCCGGTGCGGCACCAATGTCGTTGGTAAACCCTGCTTCAGCTGTTAGTAACGTACGACATCGACAAACTCAGGCACACAGCCAGTCAAGTGGAATGTATTTGGAACCTTGGGTTTGGGCATTTCCCACGTTGCCCCTATCCAGACCGTTGAATAGGTACAGTAGAGACAACAGCGGGAGAAGAGCAATGTCCAATTTCCTATTCACTCGTCGGTCCATCGCAGTCTTGTCGACACTGTGGACGTCATCATTTCCGTCGTGATCTCGCAAGGGTTTAGCTACTGAGATGGAAGATCTGGAGGCTACCCCCTCAGTTTCGGCGCTCTGCGATTGGCGGTTGATTTTCATTTTTCCCCTTTATTTTCGTATTTTTTGCCGGCGTGTTGGTCCTTGTCTTCCGGTGGAATTGGTTTAGCAACTTGTCTTGGAAACCCCCCCGGCATCCGGCATTGCGCTTCGAGTTTTTATTTATTTATAGGGAGAGCTCTCATGGATATTCTGGCCGGTAAAAGTGCCGATCTGGCACGGTGAAGCTATGTTGGCAGATTCTGAGCCTCATTAGTCTGTTCTGGTATTATCGAGCGATGATTTGTTGTCATCGTAGTAGGTACAGGCGGCAGCTGCAGTCATTCACTTCCGCTCCGGCCGTAAATTAGGGGCCAATGAGCTTGACCAGCAAGTGAATACACGAATGATAGAAAGTAGGTGGTGGCATTGACGAGAAAAAGAATAAGCCAGGTCAGTGTATGCCGTTGGCGTTGGCGTTATCTTATTTTTCCTTCGTCTTGAGTGGAGGGAATGTGAGCGATTCTGTAGTGGAATGGGGGCCTCCTTGTCCACCACTCTTGTCAACTCCGGGGTCCGGTCTCCCATCGCGTCAGACGATGCCCACTTCCGCAGTTGACGGCCAGCCCTCCCTATTCTTCGCACTGCACTTACCGTCCCACCCATCTCCTTGACCCTGTCATCTTTGATCTACTAAGGATCTTGGCTCTTGCACGAAGTAGCTAAGTGTGTTTTTGGCCCCCAGCGGCACTTAGCGAGGACTGGAACCAGGGCATCAGCTCCGAAAGAGGGCATTAGGTTCACAAGATGTTTTCACTTCGGTCTCTCAATGGGCTGGGCCCAGGCCGTTCTAGGGATAGTGGGACAAGGAGCGAGGGGAACCCAGGAAAAGGCAACGATGGATACTTTGGGAAGTGGAGGATCACATCGGTTCGACATCTGGCATCCATGGGCCAGGGTAGTGCTAGGACGGAGCGGGAGTCTTTTGGTTTAATAACTCAGAGTTCGACTGGTTGAGATGAAGATAGGAGAGGGGAGGGGTAGCGGGGATGTTTCGATCAATAAATTGATTCAGAGGGAAGGATGATCCGCACTTAGCCGTCATACACAGGGGCTCGTTGGTTCTAGTGGGCAGTGGACTGGCTCGAGATGTGGAAAGTTTTCCAGGGTCACAATTCGATGCGTGCGCACAAGAAGTCAGGTGGTATCATCTGTATGCATGCTGGGCGGCATGCCGGCATGTCTAGGCAAGCTGACCCAGCCCACACCACGAGCTGACAGTGCTAATTTGCACCGCAAGATCGATGGCGGTGCCGACGGCCTGGGTCTAGAGGAAGTTGGTGTGATGTCGCACAGAGACGATCAGCCCTGTCCTCTGTCCCAGATCCTAGCTTGTCGATTGGCGCTCCTCTGGCGTGTCTCACTCATCTTCCTTAGGCTCGATGGCTTCGTCTAGCTCACAATCTAAGATAAATGCCAAGGGAGGCATTGTCTGTTCCAGGCTAAAAGCGAAACGCGTTTCCGTTCCTCCCGGGTGAGGTACCCAGGCCATTCCATTTCACGATGGACTCGAGGTATGAAAAATTGTAATGCTTTGAAGGTTTGAAAACCAACACACAAGTCGCTTGAAAACCTCCCTTAGGACCCTCTCTGCAACATCTGGCCCGATACTCATCCGCGTTGCGGAGAGCGTGCTTTCAGCTCAGAGGTAGCCGCGGTGACCGGCCCCGGATTTCGACTAACCTCGCCCAAACGCCCTGCGTTCATTCTCCCGGGCCGAGGCAAAAGTGTGGTCATCGAGTCAAGTTCTTAACTTATTTCATCGAGGCTGACAGAAAGAGCGAGCAGCAATCTCGTCTTAAAGAATATGAATCCCGATGCTCATCGAATCAAAGTTTCTGTTTCTCTTCATCTCAGGTTTGCAGAGAATCGTTGCTATCTTTCCAAGCGAAGTCGTATGATCCGTCTTTTATGTCGCGTTGGTTGAGTAACACACATTTCATGCAATTCCCCCAGTCGACGATCCACGCAGTACGTGAAGATTATGGATCCTCCCTCGAATAACATTCAGCAAAACAATGTCGCCTTCACCCTGAGAGAAATCCCCCCCCTTGTCCACAGAAGCGAGAACACCCCATGTTCGGAAGGCCGGGTCTTGTTGGTTGGGGCTGTTGGAACTTTGTAGCCTCAGCCTCCTGAGCGCAATGCACCGGGATGTCGGGGTTGTTCCGACACCCTGACAAGACGGAAACACAATCCTGTTTTGGCAGAATGGCACACACGAGAGTGGTTCCTGTTGGGTTTTCCTGTACGTTGACGCAATATCATTCTTGGTTATTTCAGCAAAAACCAACTATCCCCCATCGCGTGTTGTCATTCTGGATTTGTAGGTCAAGTTCTTTTCTACTGCGATTTTCCGCGGCTTGCGCGGCGTAATGCGCCTAGACTTCAAGACAGTGTCTTGGTCACAGAGCCATGACGTACATCATCAAGTTGAAATCTACTTGTCTCTTGAACGGCGGGTTATCCCTTCAGTTTATTATTCCATGGTCTTGCACCTCATGTTGAAAGCCCTTTGCTCCCACTGTCGCCCTCTCCTGAGGGTCCCCTTTTGCGTGAAACCTACGCTGTCCACAATTTCGGCGGATGAACGTTGTGGCAAAGGCTGGCTCCTTCCATCATCTCAATCTCAACATATTTCTATTCCAAAGGAACTATCTTTGCATTGAGCAAAATCAAGCCCCAGAAATGAGTGAGTTCTAGGAGCTAGTCGCCCAGTAACTCGCACTTGGAAGGAGTTTATTGTTGTCAAAACACTCTTCTAAATCGAAACTGGGCACTCAGCCCATAGCTTCTCCGAATCTCAGCGCGCTGCCTAATGCACCTCTGCCCGCAATTCGAGAAAGTTTTCCTTATTTCAATTCGCCTTTCCCCTATTGCCTCTATTTCAACTTTGAGAAATCTTTTTCCGGCTATGAGAAGAAGAAATAGAAGACTTACTCTTCGTTATAGAGTCAAATTGGTTCAACAAAATAGTGGCCTGGAACATAGCCAAGTTTTGTTACTTCTACGCACGAGCTGGTCCAATTTCAAAATTGGCCCTTGTGGTGCATCCCTTTTTGTCTCTTCTGTATCTAATACTGAAGCAGCTCCGCATCAGGGTTCACGAGACATTTCCTAGCAGAGACAAAAGAAGTTTTGTTTCTTCATGTTCCCTTTCTTTGATCCCTTCTTGCAACATCTTTGATGATGCCTGCCTCGAACAATCGTTATTATGCCCTAATACGGGTCCGCGATGACAAGGGGACTACGATTGAGCGTGGCATCGACTTGGAAGTCCTCTTGCTTCACATATTTCGCTACCTCTCACTGGTCCCACAGAAAATCGCACATAGGCTCCTCCCCGGACCTTCAATCCAACTGAAGGCAGAGACTGAGTGGTTATTGGCACACCAGTTTGCGCCAATTTAGGACACCTTTTCTCCTCTCTCTCTTTGTCCCCTGATCCATGTCTTTTTTCATACCTCGCCGTTGCAGCGTCACATTCAAAAAGTTACCGTGATGCTCTACTCTGAACAGATGACTATTGGGAGAAATGCTCGCTCTCTCTTTCCCGAAGGGTACATCTGAGGAAGAAATCTCTTTTCTTGGAGGCTAGGCTTTCGTCTATCAACTTTACGTTCAAGGTTTGCCCGATGAGGCGAGAGCAACCAAGTTCTGGGACTTCGGCCTCCCACTGTGACCTTCCGACTTCGGCATGTCGGCCACTGAGGGCTCCAAGCAATGCTGAGAGGTGCAAGAAAAACCATTGTCTTGTCTTTGACGATCATTTGAGAAAAATGAACTGATCGCACAGCTTCCCAAAGTTGACTGAAAGTTATGCATGAATCGAATCACGGAAGACCCCTCACGTCTTCCTATACCTTCAAGTGTTGTGTATAATACAAATTTCAGAGCAGCCGTTTGATCTGCTTGAAGATGTTCATAGCTGTTAAGATTTGTTGCGATATCTAAATCTGCCGTTCCAACCACGATTATGGCTGTAGGCGGCAAAACCCGTCAACTTCCTAGCGCTCTGAGGATCCTGAATTGAATCTCGACAAGTTAGTCAAAGAGCCTTATGTCTTGTTTTCTTGTTCAAAAGTTGCTCTACGGGATGAAGTTTTACGTCATAAGTCCTTGACGAAATCATCCTACTCAATTCGTAGGGGGGAAGAGTTTCCCAGCTTCGATTTGGTTTCCGCTATAACTGTCCTCGATTCACTTTCAACATTGAGTCAAGTATTTTGGGAAATCTATGGAATTCTTGGGACGTCTCCTAGCACTCGTTTAGTGAGCTTTTCCTAGACCTATATCTCGAAAAGAGTTTGTGTGGGTGTAGTTCAGATGTCGATGAGATGCGCCCAGTTGTAACATTATGATGATTGAGCAAGAACTTCTCCTTGCAAAAAGTTCCATCATCACCAACTGAAGCATGATGCGGTTGGAAGAAAGGCATAATGTGCATCGCCATCTTTCAAGTTGCATCATATTCCAGTGTTCCGGATAGGAAAGTATACATTGCAAAGTTTTCCTCAAGATTTTGATGATCGAAAATGTCTTGAGCCTCTGCTGTAGCCGCTCATTACGGTCGATATCAACAACCATTCCCGAAAAGAACACAAGGGGCATTTTCCAATTGAAATTACTCAAACGGCGCGTGTTCCGGTACGATTGACTTGTGAACATCTAAAGGGGCAATCTGTTCTCATTTCGTGCCAAAAGACGCTTCCTAGTCGTTTCTGACATGGCTATATTCATTGTACCTGAAGCAAAGCTTTAGCAACGCTGGTCTCGGCGGGTTGTTGGTCTGTTTACTCAGGGGGTGCCCATAGACAGAGATCATATCATCATGCACATGATCCGTGATACCCACGAAGGTCTTGTTCAGATTACATGTGAGCTCAAAAGGCGACAACATAAGGCCATGAAGGTGGAAGGCTACGTTAGAAATTGGAGATCTGTAGTCACAAGACACTCGGCCGTTCTCAAAAGCAAATATTTGTATGCGGTAGTTCATACTCTCTGTTGAGATAAAGACATTCGACATGACATCTGCTCTAGTCCCTTGCTTTCTTGCCAACTCCAAAAAGTCCGCTCCGGTAGCTCGCCTGATCGCCGCCATCAGTCAACGTGCTGCGATCAATGTGGCACATTTACCCCAACTGGTCTCTCATAACTCATTAACCGTCAATTTCAGCCATTCAAATCTTTGGGTCCGAGTCCGACGAGCCCCGACTTCCGCTGTTGCGACCACGGGACCGTTTCCTGAGCTTGTGTTCTTCGACAACCACCACGGCCGGTTGGCGGCTGCGGCGGCTCTCGCTGATGACCGAGACGAAGATCCATGCAATGCCAAATACGGCCGCGAGGATAGCGTAGGCAATCTTGAACTCTTTGGGAGAGTTGGAGATGTATAGGCCAAGTCCGCCGTTGATAATACCGAGCGGAATGAGGAGGCGGCCGATGACCAGGTGAATGTGTGACCAGATTTGACGGACGCCGTACCTCTTGAACTGAACATGATGGATGTAGCCGAAAATGGGTTGGAAGAAGAAGATGGCTAGAAGGACGAGGCCGATAATTGGGTGGAAGTTGATGGTGCTGATCTCATACTATTGGAATGCGTTAGTGAGAAGACACTTGGGATATCCGTAGGACAGTGGAATGGGACTTACCAGACTGGTTCCACCAAATGTGACTTGCTGTGTCAACTTGATACCCAGGGCGGCAGCAGCGATATAAAGAACGAAGCCGGCCATCTGGATGAGGCCGTGGATAAGCCAGCTGAAGCGTCCGGGAATGATTCTCATGGCGATTGAACCGATGGGAAACACAATGACGAAGGCGATTGTCCCTAATATGCCGTGGATTCTCCGTGTGTGCATCGCCTCCTGAATGTTGAAGCCGACAAAGTTGTTAAAGTTTCCTCCGAAACCATTGCCGCCGTTGCCATTCCCAAACCCGTTTCCGTTGCCGTTGCCGTTGCCATTGCCCGGGAAATTTCCTGGAAATTGCTGCGCTAGTACCACCGAAGCTGAGTCTCTCGTCAGTCATGTTCGTCTAGACAATAAACATTAGTTCCTTACCCAAGGCGACGATGCCAAATGCTGTGAGTGTTGTTGCGCCCATGATGTGTGTAAGTGCACTGCTGTTTTGGTTCGAAAAACAGAGACTCAAAACGCCGGGTTCCGCGAAACGAACAGAGGAGTGGCTTATACTAAAAGACACGAGGCCGGGCCCTCAAATAAAAGCCCAAGGACGGCTGTCATTCAAGACACTAATTGACATGGCAGTATGCTCCATCGCCTGGTACTTCGTCTGACAACGGAGTGCGCTTGGGGATGTGCGAGCACGGTCAGCCTGCTGTGACCGAGATGACCGACGTGGCCGACGAGCCAATGGGCGGGCCGCCGATTTTCAGTCGATCCAGCGCACGAACGCACCAGATGGTGTCATTAGTGCGGTGGCAGGAACAGCGAGCGGTATCAATCCGAACTGATTCCCCACGCGTATCAAAGTATGTTTCTACTCACGGTACAAAGGGATGGCAGAGCAGGGAATGACGCTGAAGTGTGGCTGGGTGAACAAGCAACTAGATCATGGTGTTTCGACCGCAGACCGCAGGCAGCACGTTCCTAAGCAGGCTGCGCTGACTGTATTGTGAAGCATCAGGATCAGGAAGGAGTAAAGAGTTTCAACTCAACCCATGGATGATGGTTCCGTCCAAGATTGTTCGTATGCATCCGTTGGGAGGCCTGCATGACGCGTCTACGAGGCTCGAGTCAAGTTGGATGTGACGAGAGCCTTTGATGGTGAGAAAGACATCATTGTGGTCGTGCATGAAACCCGGTTCCTGCAGCAGTCGGCGGAGCGAAACATCAACGGGCTGACTGCGTTGTTAGTGCCAAGACCGGACTATTGCGGGACGACCCTATCACAGGAGACACGAGAGATTGACGTTGACTTTGAAAAGCACGCCGTCTGGTTTGCTGGAATTCCTCAAGTCTGTCTATTATCAGTCAACCCAGCCACGTTGGTTTTATGCATCAGGCTGATCGTTCTTCTGGGCACTGGCCAGCTGGCTTTGTAAACCTCGCTTGCCAACCTGCATTGCTCGTTCGATTTCGCGCTCTTCCTCTCGAAGTCGGGCCTTGCCCATTTCGAGGCTCCGCTGTTGTCTCCTCTTCTGCTCTGCAACCTTCTCTTCGTGCTCCTGCAGTGCTTTTTCTCTCCGATCTCTTGCTTCCCGAGCCTTGCGCGTCGCTTCATCCTCTTGCTCGGTTGCACCACCCTCCGGAGGTGGTCCCAGAGTCTGTATGTAGGCCTCGATCATGGGATCCCGCACTTGTGGCTGCAGAGAGATGTATCTGATGTCGACGAGCAGCTGCGGTGGTAGGTGCGACATGTTCGTCTTGTTGTTCAGTGCAGAAAGTGGCAGTGACTTCAGAAGCGTGGCGAGATCTGCCTTGAGTGTGGCTTGGGGCATCTTGAGACGGTTGATGTGCTCGCGATACCACTTCTCACGGTCCTTGTCTTTGACGTAGGGGTCTGTCATGGACGGTTCTTTCCGATGTTTCCTTTTGAACTCTTGCCAGAAGAGCTTGGGCGACGCTTTCTCCTGCAGTAGCGTCATGTACGGTATCCGCGGATCCTTCTTCTCTTCTTTGGCCCGACGTTCCTTGATTTCCTTGATCTTGTCCTTGGTCCACTCCGACCAAGTCTCCTTGCGTGCCTTCATCGTATTGAGAATTGTATATCTCGGATCCTCAATAATATGCCCATCCTCAATCAGCTTCTCCCACGTGCTGTAGGGACTGATGTTGAAGTCTTCTAGTAGATCTCGGAACAGCGCGGCGGCGTCTTCTTGTGAGAAGTCGACCCCCTCTGCGCCTTCAGGCCACTCGTCCATATTGCCGTCGTCATATTCTCCGGGGTCTAGTCCGTAGGCATCGCCCATTGCTTGCAGTTGGAATGCGATATCCGCTTCGCTGAATTCTACAGGCGCATCATCGGCTGGGTCTTCTGTGCGCTGGCGCTTGGAAGCAGGTATGTCCTCCCCATCTTGGTTCTCGCCTTCCTCATCCGTAACCTCGACCTCCTCGTACTCTGAGCTGTCGTCGTTACCGTCGTAGATCGTGGGTTCCGTAGCATCTAATGTTGGCCTGGCTTGAGCTGTCGGTGGTCCCTCTGTGACTGTCTCTGTGGCACTCCTAATGCCAGCTTTCTCGCGAATTCTGGCCTTGTCCACCTCCAAGATACCAGCCGCAAGCTTCTCCGGAATGCGCCAGTAGCTAGCATTTTTCTCGGGATTGTAGACAAAGCGGCGCCCATATTTTGTGTCGACTAGAATCCAGGGCTCGCATCCGGGGATCGCGACTTTAGATTTCGGTTTGTCCACCGGCTCGGGACGCGGGCGTGCGTCCCTACCTCCCCTGCCTCCGTGGCCGAAACCTCCTCGCTGTGGCGGAGGCTGATTTTGCGCATTGTATTGTGCCAGATATGCGTTTGCGACATTGGGATCGGAGAGTTGAGGAACGGTCTGATATTGAAAAAAGCTCGTCGAAGCCGTTGAAGGTGCAGCAATAGCGTCCGGGGCACTGGGTCTTGTGTATGTGGATTCTTGTGTTTGGCTGTTGTGGTAGTACTTATGTCCACTCGGCGCAGTGTGCTCTGTCCATCCGGGAAGCAGAGGAGGAGGCGCCGCAGCATTTGCGGTCGGCTTGTACGTCGACTTGAGCATACTGAGCAAGGTGAAAATGGTGCGCTCGCAGTGTCGGTGATGCTAACCGTCAGATGGCACATACGATAGAGTTGTTGATTTTCGAAGGTCTAGATGCGAAGATCGGGTTAGAGCGGAGAATCTTCGGGCTTACGATAAGATAAGACAGCTTCTAGAGGTTCGTACACTTGCAGCCACCTACCATAAGGTAGCTCGTGGAAGCGTCACAGCTCACGAGCTCGATTCCCCCAATTAAAACGCCACATACACCGGAACATACCCCCCCTACCTGTGCCCCTTCCAGCTCATTCAAGGCGGAAGGCTCGCCCTAGGGAGAATTGGCCGGAGGATCTGCATATCGATCAAGTGACTGATGCTAGTCGTTGGCGCTTGTTCAACTTTCATTGTCTGCCGTCGCTCCTTTTGTTCTTGTAGACTCGGCTCACGTTGGGTGTTTGAGCTCTCTCATCTTCACTGCAGCGCTCTCGAACAACACCCGTTGCCACAGCAAGCAGTTGTCGATGTTCCAAGCAGCCTTTCGTGCAACTCGACGACGGTGACTGCTCAAGATGGCACCAGGCCGTCGGGATGGTACTTCAAGCGGAAATGCTGTCGCATCCGCATTCTCCAGGTTTTGGAAGGTAGCGTACTCGCTCGTGTTCTTCTTCATACAGGCAAGGCTGCGAGATCGTCTGACAAAGTACCTATAGAGAACTCATGCGCCAGACTACCTCGGATTTGCGATTCTCCTTACTGGTTGGATCGTGGTAGGTTCTTCACGATACATGTCCATGTGATAGCTCCAAGTGCTGATGAATTCTTCAGATGCTGTTGTTTATTGAGCCATTCCACCGCATGTTCTTTATCAATGATCTGCATATCTCATACCCTCATGCTGAGGTTGAGCGCGTACCTGTTTGTCAGTGCACAGATGGGACCCTGAAATTTACTTGAGAACATGACTGATGCCCTCCTTAGACATGAACTTCGTATACGCCCTCTTTATACCGCTGGGCGTGTTGGCCGCGTATAATGTTGTCACAAAAGCATCGCCTCACAAGCACGAGGTTACCTACCTGTCCTTTGCCATCGCCATCATCATGGGCTCCTTTCTCACGGACCTCGTCAAGAATACAGTCGGTCGGCCGCGTCCCGATTTATTGGCCAGATGTAAGCCGGCGGCTGGCACGAAACCTGACGTACTTGTTACCATCGATGTTTGCACCGAGACTGCACACCATCTCCTCCATGATGGTTGGCGGTCCTTCCCATCGGGCCATTCGTCTTTCTCTTTCTCTGGACTTGGCTTCTTGAGCTTGTTCTTGGCTGGCCAGCTGCACATTTTCCGACACAACAGTGGAGGCCGAGACCTTAGCCGCGCCCTCATTTGCCTTCTGCCGCTGCTGGGGGCTGCACTCATCGCCATCAGCCGGTGTGAGGACTACAGACACGACGTGTATGATGTTTCCGTGGGCTCTCTACTTGGTTATGTGGTTGCGTACTGGAGTTATCGACGGCACTGGCCGAAGTTGACCGCCAAGGAATGCCATGAACCCCATCCCTACCCTGGATCAGACCCCAAGACTGGGTGGAACCGCCTGCGAGACGAGGAGGAAGCTGGGGACTCGCGACCCGACGTAGGCTATGAGATGACCCAGCTAAATAGCCAGAGACACTAATCACTGTCAGTAGGGTCCTTCATAGAGTGCGAATGCAACACCCCAGCCATCGGCATAGCCATCTACACACGTAAGACTAATCACTGCATTGTTTCTCGTCTTTGCTGCATTCTTGCCTTGCTTTCTTGTGCTTCATCTTTAGCCTGGCCTGTCACCTCTGCAATACAAGCCATTTTACAGTCCACCCTGGGATACCGCATCATCACACTTGCATCTTGGCAGCAATCTATTAGGGGTCGAGGGGGGGGGGGGGGGTTCTGGGGTTCCGGAAACTTGGGGGCATCAATTCTATTGGTACATCAGGGTAAAGGGCAATCATCACGCCCCATCTATGTTTTTGAATTCATCCATGCCATTATTTGTCCTCCGTGGACTCGTCCTTTGCCAGATCATGCTCCTTCAGCAGTTCCTTGATCTCCTCTGCAGTCCAGAGTCTGTGGTAGATCTTACCGTCGCTCGTCTGGCCAACTGTGGCGAACTCGACTGTTTATATCCGTTAGTATCAATTCGCAGATTTATGAGTGGCCGTGGTCATGACGTACGCTTCTCCGCGCTCAGCTTCGTTGAGTCCATGGTCTTGCTTAGAACCTTGACCGCCATGCCGCAAGCCTCCTTGAGAGTGCAATCTTCCTTGTAATCCTGCTTCAACAAGCTCTCTGCGCTAGCTCTGTTGGCACCGACAGCCGTCGCCTTCCATCCGCCGTAGTTGCCTGAAGGGTTGCTCTGGTACA